CTAGGCCCCGATTAAGCGTTCCATTCATAGCACAACGTCATAGCACGGTTTACTAGACTGCTATTGAAGATTAGATGTATTTTTTGTATTCATATGATAGCATTTAAATGACGCTAATAAATAGTGATTAAAATGATATCATTTTTCCTACGCTATGGATATGTTTTCATTAAGCGGGAAAGTAAAATCATTTTTTCCGCCTAACACTTAACAAAACAATTAAGTTTTTTTCCCCACTTTGTCGAATAGACTTATTATTTTCCCCAATTTCTCGAAAACCCTAAGAACTAGCCATCTCTGCTCAACCTCTCTCAATCCGACAATTTGCCGCTGATTAATCTCGCCTCCGCCGTCCTTTACGGTAGCCGCGAGACTAAACCTACAGCCGGTCCTAATTCCGCCTATCTCTGTCCGAGTTGAGCTCTAATCGAAGGCATGTGTCTCTAAATCTATAAATTTGTTTCTTACTTTAATCTGGCTTGTTTTCTTTTAGATTTTGTGAATCTCGACAATAATGTTGTTTGATTTTGGTTTTTTAAAGTCTGGATTTCTGATTTTAACTGATTTGAATCGTCAAAGTTTTTTTTTCTTTTGCATGTCATTGTTCTTCGCGAATTTAGATCTATTTGTTTGTGTGGTTTGCTTTAGGCGTAGCTAGATAGATGTCAGTACAATTTTGCTTTCAAGATTAAGATTTGTTTGGTTTTTTTTTGAAATTTGTGAGATTGAGACAAGTACTGCTTATGTTATTGTCGGACACAATTGGATGGTTTAGGAAGTTCTAACTGTTTGTACTGAGCATTTTTTGAATCTTTAGATCTTTTTAGTACTCGTCAAACACATTCTTGCAAAACCAAACACATGAAACTAGATATACTGATTCTGTAATTTTATTTTGCAATTTTTGCTGTTTGAAATAATGGGAATTTGGAGCTGATCTTAGGCTCTTATCACACTACAGGTTAGTACCATCTTTATTCCTCAATATTGAACATTACTGTGGGTTTTGTCTGCTTGGTATTATTTATTTCTGTTTGATTTGTTAGACTTATGGTGATTTGTGCTTGACAAAGTTCATTGATCAGTTTTCAAATCAATTTATATTGGTTGTTTAGATTGAGTTAATATATGAGTTTATGTTATATATTTGCTAATTGGTATGAATATAAACTGCTTTTTTGATTTGTAAAGAGTATTTTATTAAATCTGAAATATTTTTAATGGTACTATATAAAAGTTTTAAAATACGCAATATATAATGCTCGACAAGGAGTGGGTGCACCTCTGCAGGTAAGTTGTTTTTTTTATATAGGCTAGTTTCAGTAGGAAATTAGGAGACTTTGCATGTTTTTTTAATTCCCTTTTTAACTCTTTAATAAAGAGTTGATCCTGCTTATGAGAGAGGAGCTACAAATTTTGTCCGGACTGTGGCTGCGGCGATGGGAGACGTTGATATGATTATTTGTCCTTGCATTGATTGCCGTAATATAGATCGTCACTCAGGCAGTGTTGTAGTTGCTCATCTGGTAACAAGGGGAATGGACGAGGCTTATAAGAGGCAGTCTGATTGGTATCATCATGGAGAATTGATACCAATGGCTGAAAGTGAAAGCAATCAAAGCCAGTGGAATGATGAGATTGTTGGGTTATATCAAGCTGCTGAATTTTTGGATGAGGAGTTTGCTGCGAAACTTGAAATTGCAGAGGGTGATGACAAGAAGAAAGATGATTTTCTTGAGAAGATTGCTGATGCTGAAACGCCACTATATCCAACTTGTGTATCACTATTCAGACTTAACACAAAGAATGGCTGGTCTGACAAGAGCTTCAATGATCTGCTAGAGACATTGCCTGAGATGCTACCAAAGGATAATGTCTTACACACCTCACTATACGAGGTGAAGAAATTTTTGAGATCCTTTGATATGGGTTACCAGAAAATTCATGCATGTGTCAATGATTGCTGCTTATTCAGAAAGAAGTTCAAGCTGCTTGAGAACTATCCTAAATGCAATGCTTCAAGATGGAAGACTAACATGCACACTGGTGAATTAAAGAAAGGAGTCCCGCAGAAAGTATTACGCTATTTTCCAATATTTCCGAGACTTAAAAGGATGTTTAGGTCTGAGCAAATGGCTAAGGATTTAAGGTGGTATTTCAGTAACAAGAGCGACGATGGCAAACTCCGTCACCCTGTGGATTCAGTCACATGGGATCAGATGAATCACAAATACCCATCATTTGCAGCAGAAGAAAGGAATCTGAGGCTTGGACTTTCTACGGATGGATTTAATCCATTCAATATGAAGAATATAAGGTATAGTTGTTGGCCTGCTTTGCTTGTAAACTACAATCTGCCACCTGACTTATGCATGAAGATGGAGAACATCATGCTTACCTTGTTAATTCCTGGGTCTCAACAGCCGGGCAATAGTATTGATGTCTACTTAGAGCCACTCATAGAGGATCTATGCCAGCTGTGGAATTATGGTGAGTTAACATATGACGCCTATAGTAAAACGACTTCTACACTTAACGAAATGCTTCTATGGACGATAAGTGATTTTTCTGCTTATGAGAATCTTGCTTGCTGCAAAGTAAAGGGTAAAATGGGCTGTCCTTTATGTGGGAAAAATACGGACTCGACATGGTTGAAGTTCAGCAGAAAACATGTCTATATGTGCCGCAGAAAAGGTCTTCCACCAACACATACTTATAGGGGAAAGAAGTCATGGTTTGATGGAAAAGCTGAACACAGGAGAAAGGGAAGGATACTAAGTGGTCGTGAAATTTTTCAAAACCTGAAAAATTTCAAAAACAACTTTGGAAATCTGAAACAAGCTGCAAGAAAGAGAAAAAAAGGGGACAATATATACTGAATTAGACTATGACAGTGAGGATTATCTAGTGAGTCAGAAGAAGATGAGGAGGAAGAAGTATAAGTTCACGAGGAGGAGTTATCCAGATTGAAGAAAAGGTCGATTTTATTCAAGCTACCTTATTGGGAGGAACTCCCTGTTAGAGATAACCTATATGTAATGCATGTGGAGAGAAATGTGGCTGCGAGTATTGTATCAACATTGTTGCATTGTGGGAAATCAAAAGATGGTTTAAATGCTCGTAGAGATTTGGAGGTTCTTGGTATTAGGAAGGAATTGCACCCTAAATTCAGAGGAAAAAGAACATACCTACCTGTAGCAGTTTGGTCTTTATCCAAGACAGAGAAAAAGATTTTTTGTAGGCGACTTTTTGAGTTCAAAGGCCCAGATGGGTACTGCTCCAACATATCCAGAGGCTACAAACAATCTGCAGGTCTAGTGCTAAGGATACTTCACAAGCGGTGGATTTGGTATCATACTATGGGACAATAACAGACATTATCTTGTTGGACTACAATGTGTTTTATGTCCCTTTATTCAGGTGTCAATGGGCAGTGAATGGTAATGGAGTAAAGGAAGAAGATGGTTTCACGCTCGTTAACCTGAATCATAGTCAAGTTAGTTTTTCAAGGGACCCGTACATATTAGCCTCTCTAGCAAAGCAAGTGTTTTACTCAAGGGAAGACGAGTCATCAAGTTGGCATGTTGCTATGAGAGGTCCTTCTAGAAGATTTAGTCAGAAAGAGTTTGAAGCTGGAGATGTAGACATTAGTCCTTTGCCTGCAAATATTGACATGGGTGTTGACTTGGATGAAACAGAAAATGAAAGAACTGATTGCGAAGGCATATATGTGTAGTTCTTCATCGTTTTCATGATTAGTTGGACTTTGTTTGAATAGATGTCTGATAGGGAATTGTTTGTTTCATATATATTATGTTGTTTAGCTAAATGTCAGATAGAGAATTGGTTGTTTCATATATATTTAATATATTTTAACATTTTTTTCTGTTTCTTTTTCTAGGTGATTTGAAATGGGAACTAGAAAGAAAAAGAGAGGAAGAAAACCTAAACAGAAAGATGATGAGGTAGAATATGTGAGTACCCGTGAACCTGAACCAGTAGAACCAGAATCTGCAGAACCAGAACCCCAAGTACAAGCTGAGCAAGAGCAGTTGATAGACACATATATTCTTAATGCGACAACTGCTGAATTAAACGAAGAAGATCCTCAACTAGAGCTCAATGAAGAAGAGCTTGAAGGTGAAGTGACGCCTAATGACACTGAGAAAGGTCTGATTGATGAAGAGCCTGAAGGTGAGATACAATTCTCTGAAGATCATGACAACATTGAGAGAAAGAGTAAGAGACAGCGAGGACCAACACGCATGAAAGACATCGCCAAGGATCCAAATACCAGAGTACATGTAGAGTTCAATAGCCTGGGAGAAATTTATGGTAAAGGGTCTGTTAAGATGGCATCTTACGTTGGAGCATTGGTACGGGAACATGTTCCTATCACATTTGATCATTGGACAAAAATAACTGAAGAAATCAGGACACTTCTCTAGAAATCTGTCCAGGTGATTTCGTAATGCAAAACCTCAAGATTTTTAAGTTCAAAATCTGTAGGTCTTCCATTTACCTTTTTATTTTTTGTTTTGGTGAACTATAATTGCAGGCAAGGTTTGAGATAGATGAAGAGTACCAGAAGACTGCAGTGGTTAAGCAGATGGGATGTCTGTGGAGGTCATGAAAATCTCGTCTAGTCACCCAGATTAGACAAGCCAATACTAACTAACAAAGGATGATCTAAGAATGTTTAGACAAGCCATGAAGCTGCGACCTAAGAATGTTTCTCTATTTGAGTGGCGTAAACTAGTCAAAATCAAAACTAGCAAAGAGTTTAAGGTAATCATTTGTACTTAACTAAGTTTATTTCCTATAAAGTATTTTACATAAAAACATTTCTCTGTTAGGTTGTAAGTGATAGCTATAAAGAACGAAGGAGCAAACAGATTCCTCACACTACTGGCCGCAAAGGAATGGTTAGACTAGCAGAAGATATGGTAATCATACTACAATTATGTTGCATGTTTTTTCTCATTGACTACTTTTGAATACTTATTATTTGTAAAATATTTTTGCTCTGAATTAGGGAAAGGAGTGTTCAAATCCAAGTGAAGTGGCACGGCTAAAGGTCTGGATCAAGTCACGTACTAGAAAAGATGGTACACCGGTGAATACAAATGCGGCTGAAAAGATTGTGAATTAAAAAATATTGTATTATGTTCTGCATATTGGAATTAGATCATAACGTTTGAAGCTGTATCTTGTGATTGGCAGAGAGAGGCAGCTGAGATTGTTAAAAGTGATACTCTAGCATCTGCTTGTTTTGATGGCCAAGATTCACTTAGCCAGCTACTAGGACCTGATAATCCTAGTCGAATGAGGGCAATGGGTAGAAACATGAATAAGACCAAATTAGCATGTTTCCAAGTGAAGAACAAGTGTATGGCTGAAATGGAAGCGAAGCAAACTCATCTATTGTAGAAGGTCAATGAGTTAGAAGATGTAATTGAAAAATTGAAGAACCAGGTTAGACACTTCTCTACTTATAGTTTAAGCTGATGCATTATAACACTATATTTGACTTTATTTTATTTTTGTAACAGAGACAAGAGCATGATGCTGCTTCAAACTCAGCTATTAGAGTAAGTTCTTAATTTATATCAAATGCATGTTCTATTTGTTTCTGAAAACTCTAGTAACTAGTCTTTTATTCATTTTATAGAACGTAAACAAAAGATCACAACCTAAGTGTATCTTAATTTATTGGACTGGTAATGGTGATGCAATTCTGAGGGGCGTATTATTACTTTTGATCCAGATGAGTTAGGCCCTTCGGATGTCAAAGTTTTGGTTGACACTGCTATGGTACCAGACACATATCTTTGGAGACCTGCACTTAACATGTGCACAATTGAATCTGCTATCGGACAGATGATTGCTTGGCCTGCCCTCTAAGTGTGTTAACCTAGAAAATGAGCAGGAACCAGAAGACATTGCACAACTGGTAAAGTTTATTATTCACCCTCATGAGTATAGGAATATTTATATCTATAGAAGAATGATCATGTTGTGTGAATGTGTTTGACAGAGCCAAAGAACTAATTCAGCGATGAACAAATGCAAGCTGCTGGATTTGTCTTCAGATGACGTGGTTGTTGTTGAAGGGCGTTGGCAGACACAAGGTCGTGATGCATTAGTAAATGGGCTACCTTTGGGACCAAATGCAGTGAAGATCTTGGTAGATGTGGTATGTCAACCTGAGACATTTATCTGGAGGCATACAATTGATGTAACATACCTTGAGGACTGTCTACAAACATTTGTATCATGGCCTGTGAACAAAGTCGTCTTTCAAAACACAATAGATGCAATAGGTCAGCAATCTCCAATTCAGAAATCTGCATCAACTCAGCAATCTTCAGGAGGAAAATCTGCAGCAACAGCGCATAAATCAGTGGAAACAAGTCAGAAAACTGTTGTAGCATGTCAGAAAACTGCTGCAACAGTCTCAAAACCTCCTGCAGAAAAGTCTCCACCGTCTGGTCGAGAATCTCCTATCCAGAAAAGTTAACGACCTACACTAATATCCCCTCTTCGAAGATCTCCGGTAAATCTTTTTGATATGTTGTGCAGGCGATTGTGAGTATTAGATCTCTCTATTATAAACTGACTAGTTTTTTAATCATGACAGCGTAAACGGGAGCTGAGGTCATCAAAGAAAATAAAAAATACAAGTTGATGGATATTAGTGGAAGGAAGGAGATTGTCGCCGAAGGACGTGTGCATTGAGTCAACCCAGACATTAAGGTCCACTGTGTTCGCTTGGGTTCAAATGCAGCTAGAGTATGGGTTGATATAGTGATGATAGATGATGTAGCGGTTTGGAGGCCATCAGATGAAATCGAGTACATGAGAGATGCACTTGGTTCATCTATTGCATGGTCAATGGATAAGTTGGTCATCTTTTGATCAGTTTAAGAAACTGAGGTATGTATACTGTCTTGCTTGTGCTTTAACCTGATCTGTTGATGATATCACAAATCTGATATAAGATTGCTTCTTGCAGGGGAATGAAGTAACTTTGGTCCATGTTAGCTAGTTTTAATTAAGTTTAAGACAGAGCTAATCATCAACTTATGACTTCTGTTATGTATGATGAATGATTATGTAAACTTTTACTCTTAAGGATATGGAATCAGACTTTATCTGAAATGATTTTTATTTGTAGGTGTTCATGTTTATTGCTATATGAAAACATAAATTTAGTATGTAATTCTAAATTTATAATTATTCTCAGGAAACCCATATAATAGCTATATGAAAACATATACAATAGCAAATAAAAAAACTGATCTATACTTTCTATCATAGCACTAAAATATTTGTTTTCAAATATTGTATTATAGCACATATAAATGTCAGAATTAAATAATATATAATAGTTCACAAGAGCTATAGTATAATTATATATTATAGTACCAAATATGATGCTACACAAATATATATTACCGCTATATACAATAGCTATTGTACAATGACATACGATAACAAAACAAATGGTTCTATATGAGAATACGTAATAGCGTTTTAAATGCGCTATAGTATTAGTCAATTTTGTAGCAATTAAAAAAATGCTATCGTATGGGTTACCCCTACGATGACGGCCGATGTCATAGCATTTGTAAATTCGCTATGTTATATGTATGATAGCAGATATTCCGCGCTAATGATGTCAACATTTCTTGTAGTGTTCTGTTGGTCTATCATTTCATTATAATAGATAAGTAACCTCGTTTTTATAGTATTTAATTTTCATTCTTTATGGTTAATAGCTTTGTTCCATATGTTGTCGCTTATTGAACCATATAGGGTTATATAGCTTGATTTGTTTATTTCATTATCATCATTGCATGAGATTGGTTTTTGTTATCGCTAGAACGTAACACCAATTAGTTATTGTCTCACAAGTTCAAAGTATCTATGTCCATGAACGTAATCATGCTTAATTGTTTGATTCAATCTAATTGGTTAATATTTGTCAAGTTTTATTGTTTGGTTCGGTTGATTTTTTTTTTTTCAAATTGAAAGCATGATTCATTACTTTATTGTTTATTTTTGTTATTGAATATAATGTTTGACATGGGTTCATTGACCGTTGTTATGTTTCTATTGGCTTAGAAATTATCAGCTAATTTTGAATTGCTGGTGACTTGGTAAGAGTGCTCGGCCAAAATACCTCGTCCACACCGTCTCAGATTTCAACGAAGCTTTTAGTCTCCGATCAATCTTTCCTTTCGAGATAAGTACTATCTATCCATCATCTTAATTAGAACTTATCGCCCATGATTAACATTTTCATGGCATTATAACAATAGTGTAAATACCTAATTAATTGAGATCGACGACATCACACTTGTTTTATTATTTTAATTGTTTGGTTTGTTTGGTTTGCTGAATCGGTGGTTTTAATCGGTTTACAAAAAAAAAAATTCATGGTTTAAGTTAAGATGTTTAGTGTTTCATCGTCACATGCTTTTTTAGTAAATTAATTTATGATCGATTTTATGCTTCACTCATTTGTTTAGTAAACCGAGATCCATTAGGATGTTTATTTAATCTTTTTTTATGCTTTTATATTTTTGCAATTGCCGATCATAAAAACTAAATTAAATAAAACTAGATTTATATAATTATTGGTTGCTAGGTTTATTGGTATATAAATACCATGCATGCTATAATATTGTCATCTGAGTATCTAATATAGTTATGCTCCATGATCGGATTATCACATTCACGCTTCCATCGTCATCATTCTTGGTGAATTTATGAAACATCGTTTCATGCTTCATGACACATATTTTATTGTGATTCCACCTAGTCAAAATTGTCATGCTTTGGTTTGGTTAGTTACTTAGTTCTCTTGAACTGAAGGCATTATCAAGTAATTAAATGCACTATTATTTTATTGTTTGATATATCGTTAGGTTTGTAATGCCTAATGTCTCATATTTTAATATATTGTGCTAGGAAATAATTGGCTATACTTTCAACAAAATTTTGAGCTGATGCCGTCTTCGTTTCCTAACATTGTCTTTGTCTCAATTCCATCATCGAGTTTGTGACGAGCCTAAGCAATTTAAGATCACCGCCAACATTTTTATAGTCGAATTGTTTAATCTTTGGAATTCAAAAGCCATCATCATCGAGCTAAGTACTACTTACCCAACATATTACTTAAATCTGATTGGTACAATGAATGGTTCGTGTTTAAAATATTCATGCCACAATTATATAGTACTTGATTGTGGTTGACGGATCTTTTATAATTGATCGACCCATAATTGCTTTGTTGATTCATCGAAATCATGTTTTTAATTTTTTGGTAATTCGTCGGTTTAGTAAATCAATGTTTCATTATCGGAATCTATTTGGGTTTTTATCCAACTGATTTTAATCTCTATCACGATGCCTTATTAAATTTATTGTTTCTAAATCATTGGTTTGAGTTGATTTAATTAGTTATTGGTTTGAATTCTTATTGTTTACATTTGATAATCGTGACTTGTTTTAGATAGCCATTGAAATCAAATACATAATTATTATTAAAAGAAAATAGGGTATATTATTGAGTATATAAAATGAGATTCAATTTGAGATTGATAAACCTAGTGTTATCATCTCGAGGGGGAGAGTTAAGGAATTCCATATACAATAACAAGTGAAACATACAGAAAATTATGTCCACACTAAAACTAAGATTGATGAATCCTTCTACGTGATTTTGGGAGAAATTATGTTGAGACAACATGTGAAGAAAATGTTGAATACCCAAAGCAATAAAACCATTTTAGAGAAATTACATGCATTTTCTATATTATTATACTACATAAAGATTAGTTAATGAATATATTTGTGTATAGTAAACCAGAAGTTTACTGAAAATCTCACTGTTTGGCATGACCGGTTAAGCCATTCCGGTTTAGTAGTGATGCGAAAGAACAATCAGAAATTTATGGAAATATTCATTGGAAAACCTGAAGAATTTTCCTAATGATTTCTTATGTATGCTGCTTGTTCACAAAGCAAGCCAATTATATGGCTTTCACCGACCCCATGAATTTGGATAATGTCAATTTTCTGGTACGTCGCTACAGGAAATGTGGGTATTAATAGCGACCGAAAAACGTAATTATTCATCTACCATAGCGTTTCTTTAAGCGCTCTGACATCGCCCGTTATAGAAAGTCGGACATTTTTGATAGCGGTTTTTTGTTGTGCAATAGTTAAGTATACAACGATAGCGTTGTCTTTTGTGCAATTGTTAATGTTTATAATAGCGTGATAAAGATGTTATTAAAACTCATTAATCATATTTTACCTATAGCAAAGATAGCTTATGTTTTGTGTTATTAGTTTGTTTTTAAATTATTCAAAATAATAAATAATTACGAATTATATTTTAATTTAAATATAATATTTGTAAAAAAAAGATTAATTTGAATATTTGTAAAAAAAAAAGAATACCATTAAAATGTTTAATAACCCATTTCAATTTTCATTGTTTACAAAAACCACAAACATACCTATCAATCTACCACTAACAAGCCTTCACAATCATCCCTAACATAAACACTATCATCATCAAAAGCTTCATCATCCAAATCATCGACTTCTTGGACAGGCAAAGGTGCACCACCTAAATCCTTTTCTGTTTCCAATTCATGATAGCCTCTAGGTGGTGCTCTCATAACAACATACCAATTTGAATTATCATCTTCCCTAGAATAGAAAACCTGTTTTGCTTGAGAAGGTAGAATGAATGGATCTTTCAAATAGGTTGTTTGGTTCATATGAAGGTTAACAAGAGTGAAACCATCTTCCTCCTTCACACCATTCCCTGTGTTGGCCCAATTGCATCTAAACAGCGGCACTTTGAACATGTCATAGTGCATAAGTAAAATGTCCTTTATCACTCCATAATATGTAAGCACATTAGCGACTTGTCTCATATCTCGAGCACTTGATCTACACATGCTAAATGCTTTATAAGTTATGCCACTGTTTTGTGTCTTCCGCTTAACCGCATCTGTATGAAACCGTTGCCCATTAACGATAAATCCTTTATGTGCTAAAGCAACATTTCTTGGTCCAAATGCCAACCACCTTATCTCCTTAGAATGACTATTTCTTGATTATGAATGAATCTGCAACAGCAAAACATGATCAGGAAGCTAACAATTAATCTGTGCCAAGAAAACCAGACATCAAGCTACAAGCTAAGCTAACCAGTCATTAAGCAAAACATGATCATGAAGCTAACAATTCTGTGCCAAGAAAACCAGACATCAAGCTACAAGCTAAGCTAACCAGTCATTAAGCAAAACATGATCATGAAGCTAACAATTCTGTGCCAAGAAAACCAGACATCAAGCTAACCAGTCAATTTAACAAGCTGTATAACAAATAATCAAGAAGACAAGTTTCAGCTGTAAACCTTTTTTTTAAGCCATTGTGCAAACTGCTCAGTATGGTTTTTCCATAACAAAGTTTCACTTTTAGCACATCGAGCATCATTAGCTTGTAATTCTTCCAAATGCAACCTGATTATACATTAAACAACAGTCTTGAGAATGAAATTATAATCATAATTAGTAGATGAGACATAAAGGGTAACCTCTTACTCGACATAAGGATCTAAAGATGCCATGTTCATTAGCACATAGCGATGTGCATTGTCTCTATCTTTATCTGATAGGGTAACTTCTATACCCTTCTGCAGAGGTCGACCTTCAACCACGCTTCTATCAGCCTCAATATCTTCATTGCGATTAACTGTTTCTTGAGCTGGTACTGAATCTTTAAGGAACTCTAAACAAAATGCAACGCATTCTCCAGCTAAATACCCCTCAGCCATACATGCTTCTGGCCTTGCATGATTCTTAACAAAAGCCTTAAGTGTTTTCATGTACCTATAACTCAGTCAAGAAATGAATATTAGTCCAATATCATTGCAGTAAATACATATATTGAATCAAATGAGTACATATTTCAAACCTTTCAAATGGATACATCCAGCGAAAGTGTACTGGTCCTCCCAAACGTGCTTCTTTTGATAGATGTATTGGAAGGTGGAACATGATATCAAAAAGGGATGGAGGGAAGAAGCGCTCCAGTTGACACATTGTTTCCACAAACTCTGTCTCCATTGTCATAAGTTTCTCAGGGTC